GGAAATGGAGGGATAAAATACCCCTCCCTTCTTTTCTTCTCCCATTCATTTCCTTCAACCTAAACATGTAATTAGAGATTCATCATTTTGAAGTGTAATTAGAATATTAATCATCTATGGTTAGGTTTGACAAATGGACGGGTTGGGTTGGACAATGTGTTACAAATTAACTAGATTTGGTCAAAATGGGTTATTGCTCAATGAAGGTTAACCCTAACCCATCCATCATTTGTAACAAGTTAACTTGTGGACTAACCAAGTTTCTTTTTTTTTTTTTGGGTACCTATTACCAATGTAATGTGCTATGGCATGTAGCATTCCAAATGTTAAAAATTTTAATATTTATGTCAAAAGTTGACTATATTGTCTAATATAAGGTTTTGATAATAGCCTTTGGCCTTGTTTACAGTGTTTAATTGAGTTGACTAATTATCTCCCTAGTATATCTTACCATGTTTATTATTTTGATTCCTTAATATCCAACTGATCTTTGCCTTTTAGCTTAGTTATTGTATGTTGCATACACATTTTGTGCCTTTGGCTTCAGTAGAAACCTATAACACAACAAACTAAAATAAAATAATTGTTAAAAACAAAGTGCTAGTTTGAGCTTGGAGGAAAATTAGGGATTTAGCGTGTGGATAGAAGAATAGTGGTTTATTGTTTTTATTATTTTAATAAAATAAAAAAATAAAAAATTGTTTAGGCTAGAAAGATACAAATGAGTCTAATAAATTAGTTTGTTGACTTGCTTGGTTAATTTGTTATTAACCTATGACTTGATGAGTTTTCTTAATGGGTCTCAAATCAAGAATGATTGACCCTAATCCATTTAAACAAGCGACTTAAGAGTGGAATAATGGGTTAGGCCAAAAATTGTTAGGTTTACTTGTGGGAAATTTTTATATGGACTTAGAATTATATCTATTTGGTAGTTTGAACTCATTTTCACTAATTCATCAAGAAATTTTCTATTGGCTTGGCTTGCATCGAACAAATGAAGCACCTCATATACACTTCTCAAAAACTAGATTAGAGAGCTCAAATTGGTAAAATTTATCTTTTGATAGAGTTTAAAACATGTGTTTGAAAAAACAAGTAGCATCCTCACCGTCTTTGTCAGCCAAAACACAAATTTTACACTTTTTCCACAAATTCCCAACTTGCATATCCATCGGCTAATAAAATGAAATTGAATAATTTTTAAAGGAAAGACAAAAGGAGATGATAAGTATTGGCTGGAGATGATAAAGAATATGAAAGCATAAAACCTATAGGTGATAAATCCCTATGGACACATTGGAGTGATGGATATAAAGTGTTAAACTTGAGTAGGATTGGATTATACTGGTTAGAATAAGTTATGTTGAAATTGATCCGTAGAATAGAAACCTTCAACTCAATTACTATTTTTTATAATAATAAATTTATTACAAATTAAATTAAGAATGAAAAAGTAAATAAATTAAAAGCATAGTGCAAATTCTTATAAAATAATTAAAATTTCAACTTGAAAGCACTAACTTGCAAGGATTGATTCAAAAATAATTGTTTTAAGAGTAATAACAGGAAAGATGAAAATTTTGGTTAAAAATGTGGCATATGTGAAATTATTAAATTAATTAGTATATATAATTTTATAAGTTTAAAAAATAAAATAAGTTAATTATTAAATAATATAAAATTTATATTTTAATATTTTAAACGACATAATTTAAGTGCTCTGAAATTTTCTTACCATCTATCATTATTCTTATTTTAAACGTTAGTTTTTTTTTAAAAAATTGTTTAAATGCCGTTAATTAAGCCTTCTTTTATGGGTTGATTTATTAAAAATTACATTAACACTATAATATATATTGATTTTCTCTAATCTCATTATCTAAATACTTATGAATCTTTCTATCCTTTCGGATTGAAAATTTAAATCTTTTTGCGCCGGCATTGCCATTCTTGATTTTGTGCAATCCCTTATTCGCTCTCAATGAAACCCAAATTTCAATTGAAATTTCTGAATTCTGCGAAGGAAACTTGTTTGGTTCACTAGAAACTCATCTCTTTAGCTTCTTCACCCCAGCGGCAGATAACACCTCTTTCATTCAGCACTGCAGCTCATCAAGCGTGAATCGCAGAAAAAAGATCAAGAAAATGAAGGAGCACCAAAGGGTGGCGTTGGTGCTATGCCTGATCTGGCTTGGCACCCTCCTTTACGGCGAGATGTTCGCTTTCTGGATGCCCCCTTTCTTCTCTTGTTCTTGGCCTCACCGGTCCAATTCAAAGGTATTCCTCCTCCTCCTCCTCTCTTTCTTCACCTTTTCTAAAAAACCCATCTTTCTGAGCCATTGAATTTCATCACCTAATTTAGCTTTCGCTGTATCTGCTATTACTCTGCTGTTTGCCTAATTGGGTTAATAACTTTATGCTAGTTTCCTTTCAATCGCTGAATATTGTGGGTGTCTGGCATCTAGGTGAACTGACTGTTGTTGTTCCTTTTTGAATTCCAGATGGCTGGACAAGGGCATGCCGGTGATTATGTGAAAGTTGCTGTTATTGCCGATCCCCAGGTTACTTTATCTTCCAATCTTGAATTGTTGTTCGTTCACGCTATACTCTAATGTAGTTTCCTGTGCTCTCAACAGCTCATGGACAAAACCTCACTCCACCTGCCTCCAAAATCACTTGCTTTGGAGATTGCCCAGTTCTATACCGATTTGTACATGCGCCGAGCCATTTTCTCATCTGTCTTGCCTTTCAAACCTGATGTAGTTTTGTTTTTGGGTGATTATTTTGATGGAGGACCTAATTTATCAGATGAAGAGTAAGCCCCAAATACTTACATTTGCTCTTGGTGTATAGCCTAAAATCTACACTAAAATTAACCATTTAGATCTGCACTTTCAAGAATAACAGTAGTGGATTACGATGCTTAAAAAATCCTGGAAGTAGTGGTGGATCAAGTGTTTGCTTTGTGATATCAGGTTGGCATGAATTACATTCATAACAAAATTAGTTTCTTGTTATTTTGCTAAATGAAATTCAATGTTGCCACCAATGCATATTATATAAACGTTAAACAGGCCGGTAGCTAACTTGCTTTCTTGGCCTTCACTTCTTACTTTTGCCATGCCAGTACATTACCACCCAGATAATCCCTTAACTCATTGTTTTATCTCTACTGAGACAAATTCTAGTTTCTAGCTCTTATCTTATGTAGAATTCCATTGACATTTTTTAGTTGATTAGATGGCAGGAATCTCTGAGCCGCTTCAAACATATCTTTGGTCTAAATACAGCGTATGATAATATTCAAGTTTACTACATCCCTGGAAACCATGATCTTGGTTATGCAAATCTCTACTCTAGTAAGCCGGAGGTATTTTCTCATCTTCAGTATGATATACACAGAAATTACTTGATAAATGAACATGGATCTTTATCCAGTGTGCTTGTGTACATAACATGTGTTGAACAACCAGGAAAATGGCAAAATCCTGTATCAGTTGAGCTAAATTTGAGATTTTAAGTTTAATATAAATATTTATGACAAACAATGGGGAGTCAAATGTTGATTGACTGACTGTTGAGTATACAAAGTTTTTCTATGGATTTTGACATTAACAATTGTTGTGGACGGAAGATCTGTTTTTTTTCCTAGGGATTTGTGGTTACTGCAACATTGTTGCTAAATTTTACCTAAAAATTTGCTTGAAGTTTTTGTTAAAAAAAATTTCTTAAGATGACCTGAGTACAATTTTTTATTTGTCTATTATGATAAAATCAACAGATATGGATGCATTTTCTAATCTGCATAATACTTTTAGTATTGATTTTTATTGATTTATTACTTATTAGTTCAACTTCTTACTTTCATACAGGTTATTAAACGATATGAGAAGGAATTCGGTAGTAGAAACTATCAGTTTAAAGTTGGAAAAGTTGAGTTCGTAGTCGTCGATGCCCAAACTCTTGATGGTAAATGAGAAAGTACACAACACTCTCTATCCTTGTATTCTTTTTGTCTTTAATTTCCATTTAACAAGTTATAGAAGCAATGGCATGTGACTGGCAGAGGAATAATCAGATTTCTTTTTGTTTTCTTCTTGTTTCTTCTTTCTGTTTGACACTGAAGTATAACATTTTCCTGTGATCTTAAGAGTTACTAAAGTGCTTGAATGTGACCTGTATGTCAAGGCATCACTTAGCAATGCAGTATGATTGCATAATCATGCTTAACAAAAAGTGGTGGTTTTCTGTGTAGGATATTTGGTGTTTCAGTTCATTGTTCTTTGATTGTTTTAGAATTGATTCATATACCTTTTTTGGCCAAAGCAATTCATATAACTGAATCCTAAAAAAGTCATTGATGTCCCTAAAGGAAATAAGTCAGTATATATATATATATATATTTTCCCTTACATTTGCATTGCATTAATATGGCATTTCTTTGATGAATATTTGACTTCATAATGTATAGTCTAAACAAGGAGCTTTAACATGGTAAGTTGTGTTTATATCATTTGCAGGGAAACAAAATCTTGCTTCTGCTTCTTGGGATTTTGTTATGAATATCTCTAAAGGTATATGATAACAACTAAAATAATGAATGAATTATCATTACCCACAAGTGCACTTAATTTGTTAAGTTTTCACTTGGTATTTAACTGACAATTATAGTTTTCTCTAGATAATCAATCATACCCAAGGGCTTTGTTGACCCATATTCCATTATATCGGCAAGATTGGATTAATTGTGGTCCTCATCGTCATTCTCCAATTATCATTCAGGTGCTTTTTTAATGTTATTTCATAGAATGGAAAACTAAGCAAAACTTGTGCTCTCTTGGAAGTTCACATCTAATGCATTTCGAAAAGCGTCAGTTTGTGAAAAATATTAAATGTACATTAATTCTTCTCAATATTCCAATCAAATAATTTACATTTTTTACTTTCAGTGGATCCAGCGCACATTTCCTGAACAGGAAATAAGGTAAGCTTCTTCTTATGCTCTTACTGCATGAGTCAGGATAACAGGACAGGTAGGGTTAATGGATTTCCTTATCTTTGGCTGTTGATCTAATAATCAGGTACCAAAATTACATCACTGAGGAAGCATCAAACCGGTTATTGAATTTGATCAAACCTGTAAGGTCTCTTCCTTGTTCTTAATACAGTCTTGTATTATGAAAGTACCTCTTATACTTATTTCCTTTTAATAAAATTTTATATAGTTTTGCTGATTAAGAAAAAATTTACTTGCTAACCTACTGACATTAGGATTCCAAATTGGAAACAACCAACGTTAAGGCTAAAAATACAAATCTAAAAGTCTAATTAACTCAATAATTTAAAACTTGACTAAATTGTCTAACCTCAGGGACTTTGAACTGTGTAAATAAGTTCTGCCCTAAAATTGGAGAGAGTCATGATTCACCCCAAAAAAGTATAAATTGCTAATGTTAAAATTGCAGGCAAAGAAAATTGAACTTATGATTTATGTTCTTAGAGACGATAACCTTTTAATTGCTATTTAAAATGAATTTTCATTTAAATGATATAACCTTTTTGTGTTTTAGTGGTTTAGAGAATTTTCTGCACGGGCATCAAGAATGTGATTATGTTTGAAAACATTTCATGTGATCCCAGTGGAACAATAGTTAATTGAGTTTAATGTGTTGTTTTGGCAGGTACTTATTTTATCTGGTCATGATCATGATCAATGTACTGTAACACATGATACACAAACTGGACCTGTAATGGAGGTATGCACTTGACTTGATGGTTCAACATACTTAACTTTGTACTGATGACATAACATTAACTGATAACCTGCAGCACACTTTAGGGACGATAAGTTGGCAGCAAGGAAACCTATATCCATCTTTCATGTTATTATCAGTTAGCAACTCGTCACTTTCAGCCACTTCCAGCCGAGAAGACATGATACTTACTAAGCTTTGTTTTCTTCCGAAGCAAACACATATTTACATCTGGTAACCAATTAGTTTTTTTCTCACAGCTATATTGTTATATATAAGCTTTGTATTGGTATGAAATGCTTTTACTGAAATGTCAGGTACCTCCTACTATTTGTTCTGACAATACTTGCTCTGCTTTTCTGGCCAACGGGTGGCTTGAATGTTTGGCATCACTTTGGTAATTTAGTGGATGTTAGCAAAAAGTTAATGAGTTGCAATATCTTTAGAGATGGGACAAAAGAAAAAAATGAGGATGAGAATTGTGAATATGAGATGATTTGGGGTGCAGATGGATCAATGCATGTTATTAAGAAAGCCTTGAGCAATCCTGTTACATCTCCAAGTGATAGAAGCCTGGTAGAAAGGTATTTTACTGCTAAATATTTATGATTATTGGTTCTGTTAAACATAACAAATTTTGTTGGCTTTTTTATGGTGTACTTGAGATACATTATATACCTTGTATATTTATGGTTGTATTTGATAAGTTCTGTTATTTATTGTTCCAGAATTGCAATTCTTAAACTGACTTATCCTTTTCCTCTGTGGGTTTGTGTGAGGTAAGGTTTCTGTTTTTTATTTTTGATATATATACCTTTTTAAATTGTAGCAGGGGTAATGCTGTGATGCGGCCAGCAGCTAAAAAGGCAATTAATCTGGAGTCAGAACTTTCTTTAGATGTTGATAATCACAATGCTGTAAAATTAGCCCCTAGAGCAAGCAGATCAAAGATTAAGATCATAATACAGAGATTGCTGCGCATGATTCGTATGGTTATACTCATTGCTGCTGTCAATGTTCCTCTCTATATGATGCTGCTCTTCAAGGATTGGATTGACAAATGATGTCTGCAGAATTTGTTCACTGCAGCAAGTGGCCAAGAGTTCAAACTCAATGGTGGATAAATCTTGTAATAGTGTTGTGGTCATTTTTGTATGGTACCTTTTCTCTTGCTAGCAGTCAATACCTCTTTTTTGCTTGATGAGAATACTGGCAGAGCATCTCAGCTTGTCCATTGTTTACACTTTTGTGAATTCAATGGAAAAAACAAGCTTTAGGACATTCAATCTTTGTTTGGACTTTGTATCAACATTATATTTATTGAAGTTCTTAACAGATTTTTGGTCCTAACAAGACCAATGACTGGAGAAATTAGAGATTAATAATCTTAATTAATTAGAGCCTCTAGTTGGGGACAGGATAAGATTAATAGTAATACCATTCTTGTTCCTCACACCAGACAGCATAAGATTTTAGTTGAAAACAGTTCTTGATTTAGAGTATATTTGGTGAAATTCGTAAGTGTTTTA